GAGAGAGAGAGAGAGAGAGAGAGAGAGAGAGAGAGAGAGAGAGAGAGAGAGAGAGAGAGAGAGAGAGAGAGAGAGAGAGAGAGAGAGAGAGAGAGAGAGAGAGAGAGAGAGAGAGAGAGAGAGAGAGAGAGAGAGAGAGAGAGAGAGAGAGAGAGAGAGAGAGAGAGAGAGAGAGAGAGAGAGAGAGAGAGAGAGAGAGAGAGAGAGAGAGAGAGAGAGAGAGAGAGAGAGAGAGAATTTTAACATCAGAAAGTGACATTCTCCATCTCTACATTCGATTAGATTTTGAGTTTGTTTTGTACTTTTTACAGCTCAACTTTGTTTGTTAACACACGTTCTGTGTGAAACTAGTGAAGAAAAGCAGGGAACACGCGCCCTGGAGGCTGCATTTCTCGCAGCTAATGCATGTTGATATTAGTGTTTGGATATGTTGGGAACAGGGCTGTGTTTGATTGACAGGCGGCTGCAGCTGGTAAAACACAACATCAGTCCGTCTGTGGCCTGAGGCTTCGCTATAATGCAGCTAAAGCAGAAACACAGCTCTGACAGACTCAACTTCTGTTTCTCTGCTTATTTCTGCATTCTTTTTCATCGCGGACGACAGTTATTAGATCAGTGGCTTTATAAACCAATACACTAATAAACAAATAATGTACTTAAATGCACCTTTGTACTGTCATGAGTTTTGGAAACATGTGACAGACTCTGCTGTTTGAGCTAGAGGAAGCCAGTTTACTGTTATTACTACCGTAAGCACATGAAACAAGCACACCTGCATCAATCTTTTGTGATTTCTGCTGGAATATGATCATGTTAACAGAGACTGGCAGACATAAACAGATAACTCGAATACACGCTTTACCACGGTAATCTCTGAAGAGCCTCAGAACACAATCAGAATTTACTTCAAAATGCACAGCACTCCCTCCTAGCTTATTTGTCGTTGTTTTTGGTAATAAATTCACACAGTCAGGCTTAAAATCTGAAAAATGAAACCGGAGAACATTAATGCTTTTATTAGATGTTTAATAAACCATAGATAATAAAACACACCTTAAATGTAGACTTTAATTTGGATGTGTGGGACAAGCATGGCCAATGTTGCACGGTTTGCTATTAATTGTCTGCAGTTTCTGGTAATTGTGCTGCATTTGCAAAGAGCGACTTCTGGAGTTTGTTTGTGAGAGGGAACAGAAGTGCTGCAGTGTATAAAACACAGTGTTTGATTGTGTAAAATGTCACAGGGATTGATTCTGCTCCTGCATTACCATTCTAATCAGTGGTGTAGAACCACGTGTAGAGAAACACACGCGCCCCGGGCTACCACGGAATTGGCATACATACATACATAAAACAAAAAATATAAACATAACAGAGTTTCAAGGCTTTTAAACCCAGAGGGCCAAACAATCATTTTAGTCTTTGATTCATTCAGGCGGAGAAAATTGGCTGCCATACACTTCTTAATGCCATTAAAGCAACCAAAGAGTGAATGTAAAGCCAAGTTATACTTTATACCGAGATAAAGCAGAGTATCGTCAGCATAGCAGTGATATGATATATTGGGCTTCTGACAAATATTGGCCAGAGGAAGCATATAAATGGAAAATAAAACCGGGCCCAATATAGATCTTTGTGGGACCCCTCATTTCATGTGAGCAGAAGAGGAAGAAAAATGTCCCAATTCAACAGAGAGAGTTCTCCGTGTAAAATACAAAGCAAACCAGTTAAGCACATTCCCTTGAATCCCTGCCCACAGTCTTAAACGCTTCAGTAACATTTCATGTACTACAGTGTCAACTGCAGCTGTATGATCATTGACTGTCCTGAATCAACAACAGCTTTCAAGACACAAACGTTATTATTATTAGCATGTAAGTCTCCAAAAAAGTAATGACGTTCATGATATTCTAACTGTACAAGTGCTGTATTTGTGAACCTTAAAATATGAAGATGCAATGAGGAAGAAACATAAAAAAAAAACATGTAACCCTGGCAACATTGGCATGATTGATATACAGAACAGAGAGACAAGAAGAAATGCTGTTTCATTATGAATAGGACACCCAATGGATATCAACACACTACTGGCTCTTACACCAGCACAAAGTGTGAGAATGGCTCATTAACTCAGTTACTACTTTGACAAATTTTCAATGAATGAACTCACTGAATCCATAAGAGCGTCCACTGATTCAGCATATGACTTATTGAACTGGAAAATCAATGTCAGTGCGTCACTGCTTCAATATACTGTACACATCCGTCTGATCTTTACTCTGCCACCAACAGAGTTGGGTATAACGCGTTACACAGTAACGCAGTACTGTATTCTAATTACTTTCCTGAAAATAATGTAATGCATTACTTTTTAAATTTATGTAATTTGATTATAGTAACTGTCAATAAAATTACGTTACTTAAGTTACAAATGCAGTGTTAAGAAAAAAAAATATGAAGTAAAATCACATTTTGCGCAGCAGTGTCAAACTAGTCGTATAACATTTAGATGCAATGAAAGGTTGCCTATCATATTTCAAAATGTTGCACTCGATTCCACATATTATAGTCTGACATTACAGTTTAGGAAAAGTCCAACTAGTAAAATGCGTTCAAGTTTAAGTCACAATAACATTAATATAAGTAATGCCCTACTCATCAGAATGATCTACTCTGCTGGCTCAAGCCACACGTGGCATCGTGTTCTTCTTCTGAGGTAAATACAAGGCTTGTTTCTCACAGCGCATCTTCTTACAAAAACGAAAAGTAGCCTGGATGAACTTGATGAATCTTGCTGCTTTGTTTACGGAGGTGATGTGGTGTTTACTTCATTTAAAAGTAGGCACACCAAGCATTCTAGACATATCTCTCATGTCTGTGTGTCAAGTGTTCACTGAGCTTTGGTTAATTTTTGTGATGCATTTCAGAAAGATATTCACGGAGACTGAAACTGTTTGTTTTCTTATACAAATAAATGTATTTATTTATTGTAACCCTTTACAATAAAAAAAAATGTCAATAAAGATAAATCACATAGAAGTTAAAATGTAGGCATTCATTTATTTCAATATTACACAAACATTGTTTTTGTTCAACATGATTTGTAAATTATTTAATACTGAAACATATAAAACCACACAATTTTTACACACTTTTGCATAATTTGATCAATTAGGCCTACAGCTTGTTTGTAAATGACAAGGACATTCCTGTACAAGTAAATTGTATCTTGATTTTTAGAAATGGTTTTCTACACACATTCTCAGAGTTTATCTCAAGCTGCTCTTGATTGTTTCCTTGGTAATCAAGTAGGCTTGGAATGATTTATTTAGTGCACATTTTGCCATTTGTGCGACAGACGCTGTAATTGCTGCTTGCAGCTGTTGTGGTGGACAAGAAAAACATAAAATACATCTTACATTATTTATTGGGTTTCATAGTATTCTCTGAAAAATGTGCACCAATTTACAACATGATTGGAATAGCACACAATAAACAATATTCTACTCACAAGTGAAATTTACGTTTTGTTTTCTTCACGTCTCATATTTCAAACATGCTCTTCACTCTTCTTGGTAAATAAAGCTTTATTAGGTGCAAAATTGTTCAGTGTGGTGGAAATTATACAATAACTGTGGGCCAGCTGTAACCTTTGAATAATTGATAGAAATACAATAAATGTTGAAACACTTTATTTCATGCGTTGTTCAGTTTATCATAGCTTTAACACGTTTTTCTCTCTAATGGATTTTCATAGTTTAAGACTGGAAGAGTGGATCTGAGACTAGGGTAAAACAATAAAATCTATATATGAAAGTGCATACTAAATGATATATTCTTAAAACAGCTGAACAGTTTTAGGGCCCGTATGCTGAACTACAGTATGAGCATCTGCTTTTCAGATCTACAGAAACAGAACAAGCAGCAGGAGCCAAAGTCACACCAGAAAACGGTATTAGAATTGAAGAAGTGTGTTGAATAAATAGACAGGGCTTGGTGTTCTCTAACTGGTATGGGTTATATATATTTGTTGTTGTATTATGTTGTTGTTGTTGTTGTTTCCCTTTTTTTATTCAAATAACAATATTATACATTGTTTTATACAGAAACAACATCAAAAACAAGAAAGGAAAATAAAAAGGAAAAGGAGAGAAAAATAAATGACAACAAATAGGAGTTGCCAGAGTGAGGTATGTATACAAGTTCAAAACAAAGACACAATATATGCATATATACATATCAAAATCTTTCAGCTTTCTTATTCAAGGAGTCTCAGATGTCAATATATCATAAAACCATAAAATTGTGTTTATTATTAGTAAATTTAAACGTATGAATGTGAAATTTGGTCAAGAGTATAAGTAAACTAATTGAGTAAAAATACTGTTCCTCTTGCAGTCAGTAAAACCAAAGAGTACATTTTCCCAAAGGAGTCATGTGGTGCGTATATACATATACATATAGCAACACATTATTTATTACATAAGATATATTTGTATCCTTAAATAACAAACCAAACTTAACAATTTCCCATGAGAGGATCCTTGAGGCTCTCAAGCTTTGCCGCCCATCGCATCCGCGCATGCGCAGTCACAGTCACAGTGAGCGGGAGATTGAGGTCTCTGCAGAGCACAAGTGGGCGCTTCTGAATTTATGGGTGTTTTCAAAGTGCAGGGTGTTTCTGAATCATGCAATCAAAATGATCTCCCTTACCTAACCCCACCCCTAAACCTACCGTCACTATGACGTCAGCCAATCAGGAAACATGGTCTAAAAACGCCCCGATCTGGTAACGCCCATAACTTTCCTGCAGAGACCTGTACTTGGGTGAGCGGAGGCGGAGCGGCCCGCGCATGCGCACCGCGGCAGACTAGATTCTGCCCCTCCAGGACATCCAGCGGGACTGAGCGACTGCTGCTGCGCTATCCTCAAATACATGCTCCGCCTAACCCCGCAGCCCTCCTCGAGCTCCGGGACCGCTAGATAATAACGCGCTTCGGTGACGGTGATTGTTCGGGGTTCGTCGAGGATGAGGCTGATCGAGACGCGTGCGGATGGAGAGGAGAAGCGCGAGCTGCCGCCTCCGTTCAGAAACCCGTTCGCGCACGAGCTGCGGTTCACGGCGGCGCAGAAGCTGCAGGTAGGTGCGGCGGGGGCCGGTGTTTGCTGGTGTGGGTGACCGCGCTGTAGCAGTGCTCTCCTCTCTCTGGCCTGCTGCTGCGGCTGCTGCTGCTCTGGAAGCGGAGGATCCTTCCTGTGCTACATGTTGCGCTCGCAGAAGAACCAATGAGGATGCGAGCCTCACAGCGGCCTTTGTCTGAACCAGACGTGTGCCACATCTGTCTATCGTCTATCTGTAAAAAAAGCAATATTGGCAAAGCTTGGAAGAACAAATAATAACAATTAAACAATTAAAATAATAGAAGAAAAACATTATAACAATTGAAACTTAAATAAACAGTGTAACAAATTAGAACATGTGTGAACATTTGATACTACAGTGTTTAACATAAACACACACACAGGCTGAGGGTCACTGTGGTGGACAGTAGGGATATCCATCCATCCATCCATCTTTGGATTGTTGGTTCTGTGTGTCTGATGGAGCGGTGGATGTGTGGAAGGCTGATTTCTGAGACAGATTTCAGCTCGACAGATAATCAGCTTTCCCAGGTGAAGATAAGCCCGTGTGTGTGTGCATGGAGGCCTCTAAATTAAACGTCTAGTTAGTTTGTGTTAGTTAGTGGGATGTTTCAGTGTTTGGTGGAGCTTCATGAACTAAATCCTGCAGGATCTGAGATGATCCAGTCTTGAGCTTCGGTGGAAGAAAACACGTTTGACCCATTCATTTGTTTATTGATTAGTGGGCTATTAATAATGCAGAGACTTAAATAGGATATTTTTCTTAAAATCCCAGGTTTTCAGTGTGTTTTCAAACTCTTGGATGTAATAATATTAATGTAATACTATCTCCTAAGATAAACATGTTCCTGACACAAAACTCACTGAAGTGTGGTAAAACAGGTAGATTTCAGACACTAGCTGTAGTGATGCTCTTGTTTACAGCCATTAATAAAGAAAAAGCTATCATCTGTGTGTTATTGCATACGCGTCTGCTGATTGTCATGGTAATGTGTGAGTTCTCTCGGTCTGCATCAGCACATGTAAAGGTGTGTGACCAGTCGTCTCTTCAAGGACTGCCAAGCAATTAGCATGCACCGAATTGACCTCTCCGAGTCTCCGGGATCCTGTAGCATCACAGTGTTGAAGGCTTTGCTTCAGAAATCCTTTAAGTCTTCAGCTCTCTAATTAACAGCCTCAGGTAATGAGCCATTGAAGACAGAAGTTATCATTCTTCAGTGCGATGGACTGGCTGTCAGTTGCATGCTCTGTTTTTCTCTGTCAGTACGTTTTAACACTTGATGATTTTAATGTGACATTGATATCAAAATAACTTCTGTGGCAGGAGCTCTTTTATTCTCATCAAGCACTTTATTCTGCTCGTACAGTGGACAGTCCAGTTCTCTCATCTCTGGTTTCCTAGTCTTTTCCTATTTTTTGTCAAGGGCTGCTTTACAACTTTATTTAATTCACTTTTAATGCGTATTAACATAATTTAGTGTGAGAATGTTTCTGATATGATGGCAGCCTCTCAGACACATGACTTCTTATGACCCAAGTATTTGTGCATCATGTTTGTGTTGGATGGCTTCTGTCCTGTCACATCCATTTAGAGCCACAGAGTCACATGTTTTCAGACAGTTTTGCCACTGAGGCACCATTATATGTTTGGAAAGCAGTATTTCTGCACTGGGTGTTATGATTCATGATTCATGATACACTGTTGTGATTGTGTTAGTATATGCGTTTCTCAAAGGCTGTTTGCGTGAACGTCTTTGGGAGCCATTAGTAGCACAAACACAGCAGTTTTGTCTAATTATGTGCTTTCATTCTGCTTACTCAGCTTTGTGGAGTGTCTGCATTAGATTGTTATGTGAATGTTAATCGGCTCCTTGAGGAATCATTATGATATAATATTTATCTAGTGCTGTCTTGTTTTAAAGGGCTAGATCATCCAAAAATAAAGAGTCAAACTCCAAAATATATAAAAAGTACAATAAAGTAGTTATAGGATAGCTTTGTGTAACACATTTGATAGTAAAAGCACTTAAGCTTGAGTTGGGAAGCATACAAAATGTACTTTTATTAACAACAGTAACATGTGCAAAATCTAATTCTTATATAGAAACTTTATATATTCCACTCGTATTAAATGTACCATTATACTTCTATAGTATTATATGGAACTGACCAACTTCAGTGATTATGTGTTATTTAGTAGCAAATTGAAGAAAAGTTTGATTTTTTCTTCTTTTTTTCACTTTGTGACTTTTCTTACTTCATACACAAAAACAGTGTAAAACTCGGACAAAATCTGATTTCTTGATGATTTGATATTTTATAATAGTGATTTTATCATTTCAAAATATTAAGCTACAAAATGTAGACATGAATGGCTAATAAGCCAATAAGTGCTCCTTTGCTGCCATCTACTGGTTATAATGGTGATTGCATGTATTTTTTTATTTTACGTAAGCGTTTGGTTACCACAAAGTACATTTTGGTCATCCCGTTAAAAATAACATTCAAAGTAGATTATTTTAGAGCTTGAAAGTGCTGGAAATAGTTGTGTGAAATGCTTGAAAGTCATTGAAAAGTGTTTGACTTTCTCTCTCAAAAGGTTGTTCAAACCCTGAAATGAAAAATGTAATAACATGCGACTATTATGAGTTGAACAACGCGGTGCAACCGCACACAAAATTAGTCTGGAGCAAATGATATATGAAGCAAAACGATCAGTCTGTGCAAGAAAACGAACATTATTTACAGCATTATTACCTGTAATCCAGAGCCTCAGGCAAACAGTCCAAAGCCCATGAACGAATCATTCTTTTGAACCGATACTTTTTAGTGAACTAGTTCATCAAATCGGCCTGAAGCGTCTGAAACAGTTCGCAGCTTGAAACATTTCGCTGCTGCCAGTCACTCAGACTCGACATGAACCGATTGCTTGTGACGGCTCTCATTTGTAACTTCGGAAAATTAATTTGCTGAAGGAATAAATGTAAGTCAATCTTACTGGTTTAGAATGACTTGATGGCAGATTTCCTTTAACAGTACGTGCTTACTCAGCTTTGTGGAGTGTCTGCATTAGATTGTTATGTGAATGTTAATCGGCTCCTTGAGGAATCATTATGATATAATATTTATCTAGTGCTGTCTTGTTTTAAAGGGCTAGATCATCCAAAAATAAAGAGTCAAACTCCAAAATATATAAAAAGTACAATAAAGTAGTTATAGGATAGCTTTGTGTAACACATTTGATAGTAAAAGCACTTAAGCTTGAGTTGGGAAGCATACAAAATTTACTTTTATTAACCACAGTAACATGCTAAATCTAATTTTTTAATTACATTTCTAATTACATTTGTAGAAAATGTATATATTTTACTCTTATTAAATGTACCATTATACTTCTATAGTATTATATGGAACTGACCAACTTCAGTGATTATGTGTTATTTAGTAGCAAATTGAAGAAAAGTTTGATTTTTTCTTCTTTTTTTCACTTTGTGACTTTTCTTACTTCATACACAAAAACAGTGTAAAACTCGGACAAAATCTGATTTCTTGATGATTTGATATTTTATAATAGTGATTTTATCATTTCAAAATATTAAGCTACAAAATGTAGACATGAATGACTAATAAGCCAATAAGTGCTCCTTTGCTGCCATCTACTGGTTATAATGGTGAATGCATGTATTTTTTTATTTTACGTAAGCGTTTGGTTACCACAAAGTACATTTTGGTCATCCCGTTAAAAATAACATTCAAAGTAGATTATTTTAGAGCTTGAAAGTGCTGGAAATAGTTGTGTGAAATGCTTGAAAGTCATTGAAAAGTGTTTGACTTTCTCTCTCAAAAGGTATGTACCATTATACTTCTATAGTATTATATGGAACTGACCAACTTAAGTGATTGTGTTATTTAGTACCAATTGAAGAAAAGTTTTATTTTTTCTTCTTTTTTTCACTTTGTGACTTTTCTTACTTCATACACAAAAACAGTGTAAAACTCGGACAAAATCTGATTTCTTGATGATTTGATATTTTATAATAGTGATTTTATCATTTCAAAATATTAAGCTACAAAATGTAGACATGAATGGCTAATAAGCCAATAAGTGCTCCTTTGCTGCCATCTACTGGTTATAATGGTGAATGCATGTATTTTTTTATTTTACGTAAGCGTTTGGTTACCACAAAGTACATTTTGGTCATCCCGTTAAAAATAACATTCAAAGTAGATTATTTTAGAGCTTGAAAGTGCTGGAAATAGTTGTGTGAAATGCTTGAAAGTCATTGAAAAGTGTTTGACTTTCTCTCTCAAAAGGTTGTTCAAACCCTGAAATGAAAAATGTAATAACATGCGACTATTATGAGTTGAACAACGCGGTGCAACCGCACACAAAATTAGTCTGGAGCAAATGATATATGAAGCAAAACGATCAGTCTGTGCAAGAAAACGAACATTATTTACAGCATTATTACCTGTAATCCAGAGCCTCAGGCAAACAGTCCAAAGCCCATGAACGAATCATTCTTTTGAACCGATACTTTTTAGTGAACTAGTTCATCAAATCGGCCTGAAGCGTCTGAAACAGTTCGCAGCTTGAAACATTTCGCTGCTGCCAGTCACTCAGACTCGACATGAACCGATTGCTTGTGACGGCTCTCATTTGTAACTTCGGAAAATTAATTTGCTGAAGGAATAAATGTAAGTCAATCTTACTGGTTTAGAATGACTTGATGGCAGATTTCCTTTAACAGTACGTGCAGAGAGGACTGTCAGCAGAAAGACACTTTCCTCACACTCGCATTTAGCTTCTCCGATTTAGGCTGTGCTTTCCACAAATAATCATTCAACAAAGCATATTCCGCTCTTCTAAATACTGATGTGCAGTAATGTCATCAACCAGTGTGGGTTGCTCTGAACAGAGCTGCTTGACTCTTGCACGTCTGGCGGTTGTGTTTTGCAGCCGTGTGAGAATGAAGCTTCTGTCACGTAGTTCCACGCTGACTGTTTCCTGTGCTTTGTGGCTGTATTTTAATGGTGATCTTTCAGCTTTCTCGTCATGCCTAACGCTCAGTCCTTCAGTCAGTGAGATGATTCAGATTGTCTGCTTGTCGACAGGCTGTTTGTTTTGCCTGGTTGACGTTTCTAGAGAAAACGCAGCAGCTCCGAGTGAAACGCTTCATGTTTTCTGCTTGTGAACCGAAGCTGGGGTCACAGAGACTCCAGATGAACTCCAGACCGGCTTCCGGCCGTCCCGTCGTTTTCCAGCAGATCACTTTCCCCTCTTCACAGCAGTGGATGGAAACGCTCCGTAATCGGAAACTGTGAGATCTCCTTGATCCAAAGCACAGGAAGACTGCAGCTCAGAATAACCAGGACACTTAAATCTACTTTGCATGACTTGAAGTTTGTAAAAGGAGGAGGCATTTCTTCAAATGTGTGGAATCGGTTTGAGAACTGCTGGGATTTTGCTGGAACTCTGATAATAGAATTCAGTTCCCAAAAGAAAAGCTGTTTACCATGTTTGTTGAGAAGTGCTTGAGTTCATTGAGCACATTACTTCCTATCTACGTTCAGTTTTTCCTGTTGTCAAATACATTTGGCCAAAACATTATGTTATAATAGATGAAGTGCTGTTTAAGACTATTGGCTATGACTAGATGGCAAATAAGGCATTCTTCTCTGCTCCTCAAATACATAAAACATTAGCCTTCATAGAGAGAGTGTTTACTTGTTCAAAGAACCGGTTCTTTATTTGCCCTTTACCTCTCCAAACTGTGTGCAGAACTTCATTCAGGGTGGAGCTGTCAGCTTTTGCTGACACTGCAGTCACAAGCTCTTTCTAATAGTTTTCATTGGTTAAGTATTTGTAAAACCCACAGACTATGGGTGAAACAATTAGTTGGCATTATCGACAGTGTTGACAATAAAAAAAAAAAAAAAAAAGGTTTCTCTTTTTTTTTTTCCATTTTTATTTTTTCTGGATTCCGTTTTTTTTTTTTTTTTCATTTAAATTGTTTTAGACTCTTGTTTTAATAGTTAAATTAAGGCCCCGTCCACACGGAGACACGTTTAGCTGTATACGCAAACATGTTGTATTGGATTGGTGTTTCTTCCAGACAGATCCGGCGTTTTGGGAGCGTGAAACCGCTATTTTTTTTAAACTGGGTCCCAGAGTGGATAAATCTGAAAACGTCACCCTTGCGTTTTCGTGTGTACAGAGAATCCGTATATTTTGAAATATGAAATGATGAGGTCATCACCCCGCATCTCGACCCTAGTCAGACACCGCTACGTCACATCACCGCAACAACAACATGAACAAACACTGAATGAATGTCTTTTTATCAACTAACATTAACACAGATTAATAAATGTTTTAATCCACGTTTGTTTGTATACCACGTGCAAGGTTTATGAACATAGTCCAAGTCTTCTCCGTTTTTAGTGTATCTCTGTGGTAGAATTACAGCGTCACGTACTGGTCTGGCATGAATACTACATCGTTTTGTGTCGGTTTCTTGTGTACGCAGATATTTCTTGAGACGAGGGGGAAAAAAAAGGACTGATAGGGAAAGCTCTGGCTTCGTGTGGATGTAGCCTAAATTTTATTAATCAAAAAGCATGTCAAATTATTACAGAAATCATAGGGCCATAAAATCGGGCCAAAATTAACTTCATTTCGGGATTTTTAAACCGCTTGCCATAACAAAATTTCCAGAAAAGTTCACTCCGGCTGGTAAAACACCTTCAAACTCCCATTGGTCCATGGTGATGATGTAATAGGTAGGTGTGGCTCTGTGACTCCGCCTCTTTGACATGGGATCTTCTCCTTTTCATTTCTTTTATTTGGTCTGTTGAGGTCAGACACATACAATTGTGAACACTCTGTAGAGCTGCTTTACTGTTGTAACGCTAAGTAACACTTAGACATGGCAGCACTTAGACATGGCAGCACTGCTTTTACATTTACATTTAATCATTAAGCAGACGCTTTTATCCAAAGCGACTTACAAATGCGACTTACAAAAGCAATGCTATGCAAGTGCTATAACAAGTCTCAGTTAGCTTAACGCAGTACACATAGCAAGTTTTTTTTTTAATTATATAATAAATAAAAAGAAAACATAACAGGAAAATAATAGATCAAGCTAGTGTTAGAGGCCTTTTTTGCTTTTGTTAATTGTATAATACATAAAAAGAAAACAAATAGATAACAAAAAGATTAGAAAAGCTAGTGTTTTTTTAAAGAAAACAAGCAGTAAATTAAGATTAGAAAAGCTAGTGTTTTTTTAAAGAAAACAAGCAGTAAATTAATAGAGTTTAAAAGGGACAAGTTTTTGTTTTTTAAGAATATAATTAGAATAGAGAGTGCTAGAGTTAGAGGGTCAAAAAAAAAAATGGAAGAGATGTGTTTTTAGCCGATTCTTGAAGATGGCTAACTGCTCGGACTGTGTTATTTCCAGGTAATTCCACCAGGAGGGAACATTTAATGTAAAAGTCAGTGAAAGTGATGTTGTGCCTCTTTGGGATGGCACAATAAAGTGACGTTCACTTGCAGAATGCAAGCTTCTAGAGGCACATAAGTCTGAAGTAATGAATTTAGATAAAGGGGTGCGGAGCCAGTGGTGGTTTTGTAGGAAAACGTTAATGCCTAGAATTTTATGCGAGCAGCTACTGGTAGCCAGTGCAAATTGATAAACAGAGGTGTGACGTGCATTATTTTTGGTTCATTAAAAATTAATCTTTCTGGATTAATTGTAGAGGTTTGATGGAACTGGCTAGAAGACCTGCCAAGAGAGCATTGCAAAAGTCCAGTCTGGACAGAACAAGAGCTTGAACAAGGAGTTGTGAAGCATGTTCCGAAAGAAAGGGCCTGATCTTCTTGATTTTTACCCCTAAACAAAGAATGAAAATGTGCAAGCACATTGTTCCATTCGAAAGGAGAGATTTTTTAAATTGTAATTTTATTTCATTCTTCATGCAGTTTCGTTCCATTCCAGATTATTGAGCATTTTAAGTTCCAATGTTGCATGGATGTAGAAGTTATATTGTGTTGTATTGCAATATTCAGCTTGAGTGGTGCTGTTCCATTCATGGAGGACTCTTGTTTTGTGCTCTACAGAGTGATGTGAGTGAGTGAATGGCATCATGAAGGAGCTGATGGCTGGTTTGAGTGATATGTCCAGCATGAAGCTGGTGGAATCAGCAGATCGCTGTATTTTTAGCGAGCTCGTCCCACGCCTCTGCTAGCTGATATGGGATTTGGCAGGCTGTTGGTCTGTGATCAATTCAATTAAAGTGGCTCAGTGGAAAGCACGAAGGCATCCTGAACATCCTCCAGCACTGTTAATTGGTCAGTTTGAAAGCTATCAGTGTGCAAATGCAGTCGAGTGCTGATAAGAGCAAGGCAAATATTGACTGCTGATATCCCGTATCGCCGCTGCGCTGATAAGAGCCGCTTGTGTTTGATAATCATGGGTTCAGGGCCCCATGAAGCTTGTGTTTGTTTGTGTTGTAATCTGCTGAATGTGTCCCATGTCACACTTCATCCTTGAGGATCTTGAGACGTTTCAATCTCTCTGTGTTGTGGCGTCTAACCTGCTTCCAGACAGCCTGTATTAGACTAATATAACAGCCAGGCCGCTTCAACAAATGTAATGATTCACAGTCTGCCAAATGCCTTGTCAATAGAAAAATACGAGTAACTTTTGAAAATCCGTTGATTCAGGGTTAAATGGCTGATGGTTGTCTTTGCACACTAGTCTAGAGATTATCTTTTCACATTTGAAAAAGTCATAAAATGTAAACGGCAATCAGTTAAGAACATTTACATTAAATCCAATTGTTTTATTCAGATAAACAAATTAAATCAGTGTTAAATGACTGACTGACAGATGAAGTTGTCATGCAAAAGTGCAAAAAGAGCAACAATGTTGATCCCAAGAACATTTAATAGATTGACATTTAATACATTACTAAATATTTTGAGAGCAACATTTTGCTGACATTCTTATGCATTGTTTGTTATTTTTTTTGGTCGCCTGAGTTACATTGTTTTTTTGGATATGCATGATCCAATTAAAAAGTCATTAAAAACAGTCACCAATTAAATGTTATTTAACATTTAATTAATTATTAAATATTCTTCTGACCAACAGTGTTTTTTTTTTTTCATGCATGATTTTAATTTCTTGGATGTGCAAGCTTTAACATTTGAAGAAATCATCTAAAGTGTCTTAAACAGTTCACATCACATATTTTTATTTCATTTTTAAATAGGCCTATTTATTTTTTTCTCCTAAAATCCACCTACGATGTTAGTGAAGTTGTTTCATTAGTCATCATTTATGTTTGAATGATTATTTTCCACCCTCACTATGAACCGTAGGCCAGAAACACACTTGAGATGAGTATGAATGCAGTGTTTGGTTAACGCTGGAAACTAACCTCAAGACTCGAGTCATGTTTCTCAAGACGTTGCTGAGAGGAAGTGTTGAGCTCTGAAAGTTTCACTCTGTTTTGATAGTATAATGAACTCTGAACTCGGGTTTGACCCTCAGGAGCTTTGAACAGGAAGATCTGTAGAAATGCTTCATTTAACAGCTTTGTGTGTGTGTGTGTGTTTTCTTTGCAGATCGGTTTGATGACGGTGACGCTCTTCCCCATCCGGCTCTTCATAGCGGCGTTCATGATGCTGCTGGCCTGGCCGTTTGCCTTCATCGCTTCGGTGGGCCGCTCTGAGACAGCGGTGGAGCCGCAGTGCTTATGGAGAAAGTAAAGAGCTGCTCTGCTTCATTTCAGCTGAGAATAACAGCCAGTATTTATTCGTTCAGATTCACAACGCTTCTTTGCGTATTTCCTTCGCTCCTCTTGCTGTAGAGTTTATAGTTTGTCTGTGGTGAGATGAATTTGACTTCAGATCCTCTATTTGGTAAATCAGGAAGTTGCTGAGAGAACTGAAGTGAGCAGCGCAGCACAATCACAGCCAAACAGCTTCTGTTTCTGTCACCCAATGCAAATAGAAGAAGAGCGCTTCCAAAGAGTCCTGCTTTATTAGTATCACACTATGGTTCAAAAGTTTGGGGTCAGTAAGACTTCTGCTCACCAAAGCTGCATTTATTTGATCAAAAATACGGTAAAAATAGTAAAAAATTTGAAATATTATTGCAGTTTATGCTAGCTGTTTTCTATGTGAATATGTGTTAAACTGTAATTGATTGCTGTGATCAAAGCATCATTACTCCAGTCTTCAGTGTCACATGAATTGAATTGATTGAATTGAATTGAATTGCATTGAATTTAATCGATCTACCAGGACCTTCCTCGCTTATCTCAGCGCTCCAAAGTTTGGCTGCACTTGTGATCAGAAGCCGAAAAAGCTTAGTATAATATTTGTGATAAGCTAAACATGTTGCAAGAGAGGTGTCTCCCCCAAAGCACTTTAATTTAATAGATTGTTAAACATCACGAACACGATTCAAACACCAATGTGAACAACAAAGAATCATTATTTCTGTTTTACAAACATTCAGATAATCATAAAAGTGCTGGGATAAAAGTTTACTGTTCGGATATAAAATATGATGTGTACAGTAGAGATCAAAATAGAGTAAATCACCTTTTGAAAGTAATTCAGTTCAAATAAAGATTTATCATTACATTGTTATGCCAGTAGGTGGCGAAAAGGGGCTGTTAAAATGTATTTGTCTTTGAATTATTTAAGAGAATGATTAAAAATCGCTGATTCATCCAGTATTTAAACAAGTAAATCTTGACTGAGTTGTTGAATCATTTATTCATAAATTACATTTGATTTATTTTTTTTTTAGTTGTCTAATGCTTTTTCTTCAGAATCGTGAGAACCACAACTAAAAGTAAAAAAACAAATTAAAAAAATCTCAATTTATCCAGAATCGTGCAGCTCTATTTTGCACACAAACAGCTCTTAAACGAGTCCAGTTTTTATGTAGCCGGCTGATTTTTGTTCATGGCATTCAGCTGTTTGATATCTAAATGTTTGACTTAATTTTTTAATCACATTGGAATCGAAACTGGGAATCAAAAAGAACTTGAAGGGATAAGCGGAATCGGAATTGATACAATTCAACAAACCCTAACCCTACTCAAGAAACATTTCTGATTATTATCAACGTTGAAAACGCACACTCACGCTGTTGTCCTTTGAATCTCTATTTTCAGATGCCCGTTAGGAAACATGTCGTTCTACAGTAGATCCAGTGTCTAAAAGTTTAACACTTTAAAGATGCAAATTACGTCCAGCAATGTTAATACTCACATGACTTCATTGAGCTGTGAGAGGGGATAAACAGATCCTGACTCAGTAATGCTTTGATGATGCTTTTTTAATGCAGCTCTGCAGTGCAATGTAAAGTCTGCTGTCCATTTAAACTTAGCCATGTTGAGTGATCAGAGCTGCTTTTCTCAAAAGCATCGTAAGCCTAAGTACATTGTAGACCCATTGCCACCGATGGCGCTAAGGTCAGCTTATGCTTACGATGCTTTTGGGAAACGCAGGCCTGACCAGTTCACATTCAGATGTTGTCAGGGATGGATGTGTCCGTATCTCTCATATATATATGTGTGTGTGTGTGTGTGTGTGTGTGTGGAGTGAAGTGTGGTGCTGTATTAATTTACACACAAGTAGCTCACAATAAGTGATTGTTGATAAAACCCAATTTTACACTATACAATAACATTTTCATTTGAATGGTATTTTGATATATCTATTTATATATATATTTATATATATATATTTTTTTTACAGAAAATGACAACTGGTCAAAATAACAAATGTTTAATTTTTTTCTGATTGAAAATCAGGGTTATTCCACCAAATATGGATTTCTCAACTTAACTAAAGTTAAAATGTTGGTATTGTGTTGTCTAAAAATTAATATAAACATGTCTGAAAACATGGCATCATTTTTGGTATTTTGACCAATTGTCATTTCATGCAAAAAAAGAAAAGAAAACAATGCTCTAAATGACAACATTTGTATATAAAACTTTGAAGTTTTTCCTCAAATACATAACTATAAATGAGTCCAATAAATCCAGAGAACCTGGATTTATTTTATTTATTTACGTACATAGCTTTATTTCTTGTTTTATATTTGTATGTACTGTAACAATAATCATAAAAAAATAAATAATAAGTCTTATTTTATAGTTACATTAAACGGATCAGAAATGTGTCCTTTTTTGTTAACTTGCTTCACTTAATGATTACTGTAAGGGTTTTTTTTGTAATAAAAATTAAACCCATGAACACTGAAATGTTTCAGTTTTCCCAAATCATTCGGCCCTAAAAAGCTGGTTTGCACTCAGAGTGTTGTGGTGAAGAGCTCTGTATTGTGCGGCTAGACTAGAGTAGTCTCGATCAGTGGCTGATCTTTGTGCTGGCTCTTCTGCAGGCTGGTGGACGTGGTGCTCAGGACCATCATGCGGGTCATGTGGTTTGCCGGCGGTTTCCATTGGATCAGCATTAAGGGCAGACAGGCTCTGCCTGCAGAAGCGGCCATCCTCACCCTCGGCCCGCACTCGTCCTACTTCGACGCCATTCCCGTCACCATGACCATGGCTTCTATTGTGATGAAAGCGGAGAGCAAAGACATCCCGGTGTGGGGCAGTAAGTCCTCTGCTCTGTTCTGCTGCTTCTGAACAACTGATGTTCCCATTCATTCATCAATCATTCATCCTTCTTTTGCCATTGTTGCTGGTTTATAAAAAACATATATGCACACAGTGCCTTGCAAAAGTATTCACACCCCTTCATTTTTTTTTTTTTTTTTTTTATTTTTTTTTTTTTTTTTTAAGCGGAGAGCAAAGACATCCCGGTGTGGGGCAGTAAGTCCTCTGCTCTGTTCTGCTGCTTCTGAACAACTGATGTTCCCATTCATTCATCAATCATTCATCCTTCTTTTGCCATTGTTGCTGGTTTATAAAAAACATATATGCACACAGTGCCTTGCAAAAGTATTCACACCCCTTCATTTTTTTTTTTTTTTTTTTTATTTTATTTTTTTTTTTTTTTTTCCCCCTTCACGTTTTATGTTGCTGCCTTATGTTAGATTGCTTTAAATTATTGTTTTCCCACATCATTCTACACTCCACACAGAGGTTAAAAAGCTGTCCATAAAAACAGGTTTTTAACATTTTTGCAAATTTATAAAAAAAAAAAAAAACTTGATTCCATTGCATAAGTATCTGGGACAGTTGAAATTTAGTTCAGGAGCATTCGTATTGCTTGTAGATGTTTCTTCACTTCAAGTGAAGTTAACCTGTGGCAAATTCAATTGAATGGGTATGATTTGGTAAGGCACACACGTCTTAATAAAAGGTCTAACATAGGGGTGCTCCGATCAGGATTTTTAAGGCCGATCGACGATCACAGAAAGCAGTATCTGCCGATACCGATCACCGATACTGATCTTTTTAAAGGCTTATTTTTATCAT